CAGCTGTGATTGCCAGACATTAAATCTGCCTTCAGGTGTGTCCTGCATGCAGTAGGGTCACATGGTCCCAATTTTTGCTCCAGGTAATATGAGAGTGTATTGATGATCTTAGAAATGCCTGGATTTACTCTGCTAACTAAAGAAGTTAGAGAAAAAGTTATTAGAAAGAAAGCTGCAAGTCCTTTGTACTGGTGAGTAAAAATGATTAGCATATAACCTTAATGGCTCTGGTTGTGGCTATTTTGTTGGGTTTTTTTTTTTTTTTGGTAGTATTTAGGTAAGTATTACAAAATCGCCTTTTTAGTTTTAGAGGAAAATGCTGTACTTTATGTTATGTTTCTACCAAAACCCTGTTACTGTTCAGTTTATTTTTCCAGCATTTCACAAAGATACTAGTATTACCTACTAATAATAATCCTCAATTATTAGGTGTGATGCAAGTTTTGCCTTTATCCTTAGAACTTTGAAAGGAAGAGCTTCATTATCTGTCTGTTTTCTGAATGGTATTTTGCAGTAATACACCTTGAGCCTATAAGGATAAGGATATTTTAAATCTGCCTTTTGATCAGATGGAAGTAGAGCTCACTCCAGATCAAGTGGTTAGACAAGAGCTCTTCTACAACGCTCTCACCAACTTGTCTGAATGAACTGGTTTACCATTCAAAGGCTATTATCAGTTAACTGGATTCAAGCGTACACTTCGACATCACTTTATCTGCATAACTACATCAGTTTAGTTCTCTGGCAAACTACAAATAGTCTGCCAGCAAATAATCACCAGAAACTGAAATGCTGTTCTGAGCTCCCATAATTATTTCTTGCTGCTACAGGAGAAAGTTTTCTTGTCTGTGCCCAATATAGCTTTGCAGAGTGTGTGGGCAATTAGCGAGGTGGCTTTTCATAGTGTGAAAAAGGAAAGTCCTTTTATCTGCTGAAACAAGTTTGAGCTAAATAGAGACAGATACCAACTTCTACTAAAAGAGATGGCAGTGGACTGTAGAAACCCCCCCAGAAACGGCTTTTATTTCATGAGACAAATAGTAGGGTGCCAGGTATCTACGGGCGTGGGCACTCCAGCGGGGTTGTCCCGCTGGGACCACAGAGGCGATTTGATCTCGGAGGTCTGGCGCGGGCTGAGCCGCTGCGGGGGGTGAGGGCTTCCAGGCAGGAGCTGGGCCCGGGGCTCCAGCGCGCCGGGCCGAGGCTTTCGCCTCCTGGCCAGGTGAGGGGCGCTCCCGGCCGCCCCGGAGAGAGGAGCGGTAGCTCGGTCAGGTCACGCTTCGGAGCACCGGGAGGGAGGCGACATGGGGACCGCGAGGAGCTGTAGGGAGAGCCCGGTGCGGCGCCTGCAGCCCCACACCTCCCGCTCACCGCGGCGGTGAGGGGCGCGTCCCGCCCGGGGCGGGGCGGTCGGACAAA